CATTCATACGGAGCCATAGCGAGCGGTCCACAAGCAATAGTGTGCGGGATTCGAGCTCGTCGAGGGAGTCGTGGTTGAAGCGCTGGTCCATACGTCCTCTGTCCCAGCATGAAAGTAGTCCAAGGTCAAGCATGGGTCCAGACTCGCTTTCGATCAATTTCTCCAACAACGGCTCCGAAGCGCCCATGTTGAGGTCCAGCACCACCACTGCGTCGGGGCCACAAGCGGCACCAAACAAGCTGGTCAAGAGGATAACAACTGGGCAAGGAGGAAACTCGGAGACAAAGCAAAAACGAGGATCGAGGCCACAATTACCAACGTTGCGACGACCAGCCACCAGCCACCAACGGTCCATGACACTCCAGCAGCTTCAGGGCACCTTCTGTCCAACACCGGTGGATCCCAAGTTCTCGCTAGAAGAAGAGCCGGAGCTTCCACATCGTACGATGAACCCACAGGCGGATGCGGGCGTTGCCAAGGGTCGCGGGCGATGGACATCGTTCTTCCATGCTCGGATACTCAGGTCATCCGGCCGGAGAAGTGGTGCGCGGTTGAGCGAAAGTAGCCTTGATAACCTTTTGCTGCCTTCCAAGCGTGTGCAAGTACACACAGATAATGCACCCAGGCCCTACCTAACCAAGCCAGATTACATAGCGGCTTGCCCAACTCCTGAAATGAAACCACGGCAATCTCGACCGGAAACCCGAGGAGGACGTTTGGAAGGCCTCGACAGTGCACCACTTGCTTCTCCAACTAGGCAGTTGAGAAGGTCGATGTCGTTCCGAACTCTCGATTCACCCGAGACAAGGGTCCTGAAGAGTACAAACGCCCGACGTCCAAGACGAGGCACTACAAGCGATGCCGAGGGCTGCGGTAGACATGCTGCAGGACCGGAACCGTTGGACGATTTTCTGCTTCCTGCACCCAATCGTGCAGATCAGCCCAAGGCCAGACCGACTTGGGATGGAATTTCTCCACCAACTCAAACAACACCAAAACATCTTGAAACAGGCTTGAGGCCGGGCCTTCGTCTAGTTATTTCTCACAAAAGAAACACTTCAGCCCCGCTTGTTCCCATGTCCCGCATTCCAAGCCTCGACGTCGACGTTACACGAGTGGATCAACCCGGCTCTATCCCCTCATTAGCTTCTCCAAGTCCATGTCAAGACCCAATCAACGACATGTCGGCCACACAGGGCCTTGCGGTGCAACCAAACAGTCGATCGGGCGGCTCTGGCGAACAAGCGTCCACATTAGCTGGCTCAGAATCGATCGACGGTCGGGATGGTTTGTCGGGCGATGACGATGACACAGACCTTCGAAGCGACGGCTTGTATGATTCGTTCCGCACCGGTGCCTCCTCCAGTCGGCTGAGGACGGTTGAAACGCCACTAGAGTCCATGTTTGACGAGTCGCCACCGGGCACCGCTGGTAACAGCAAAGACAAGAGGTTGTCTATCCAAGAAATTCTCGGGCAGTCGTGGGATGGTGCTACCAGGATCATGGAAGAGGACGAAAGTCTTCCGCCAACCTTGCGCGCCGCGTTTATGTCGGACACAGCCAAGATCGCTCACAATGGAAGCGACCAAAATAGCTATGAGCTTGATCCTACACCAACCCTCACTTTGGGCGAACATGACTTTGGTCGCTTGTCGCTCGATGATGATGACGACGACTGGGCGCGAGACGATGATGAGACCTTTAGTAACCATCTTTCACCGCCGTCTACGACAAATTCAAGTCACGTCAGTCCCGCGATACGACAGGCGCTAGCAGGCCTGTGCGAGCAAAACGATGCAGACCTTGGCCACGATGCACTCGACGACCGATCGCGGAGTAACATCTTCGACTGGTGTGAACAACCATCGGTTGACAAGTTCGATCACGATGGCCTATCATTGCGTCCCAAGACGGTGCACGGAAAGCACGAGCTGGACTTGAGGGGAGGCCGCTCTGTGATTCGGAAGGGACCCAGCGCAGTCCACATACGGAGCCAAAGTGTCCCCGTCGTTCCTGATCTTGCTGAAGGCTCAAAGCCTACTCCCAAGTTCGGCACGTGGGGGCTGAGTTCCAAAACGGTCAGCGAGGACTGGGACGACGACTTTGATTTTGACGAGGTGCCTGTGAGTGCAACCGGCTGCAAGGACTCGGCCACGAGCTTCTCGATGGTTGTCCCTGCTTCCATCCAAGCGAGCCAGCCTTCTGTTAAAGCACATTCGGGACAAATCCGCGAACTTTCTTTGTTGGTCAATGACCTCAAGCGGCTTTGCCGTCATGGAAAGGAGCTTGACATTATGAATGGCCCAGCAGCATCGAAATGGGAGGAAGCTGAGAACGTCATTGAGCTTGCTTCGCCAGATGAGGAGGACGAAGACGCCGACGCCGACGTTGACGCCAGCTCACAGTCAACGGAATCAAAGATCTCAAGCATCGATGAGCGTTACCTGGAAGAAGGCTTTGACGGCTCGATCCTTGACCAACAAATCGATCCGTTTGAGGCCATACCGCCTCCCATGGGAAAAACCACGGTGATACGCGAGCGACAAACGGCACGGCGACGATCGGTCTTCTCTCCCGACGATGACATCTTTGGTGGAGGTTGGCCGCTTACGGAGGGAAACCCAAAGGCGACGCGACCGCACACCCCCGAGCGATCGACAAGTCCCACCGAAAAATCGGCAATGATCGCGACAGTTATTGAAGCCATGCAACAGCAACGTTCAACGGCGGACGCTGTTAAGCACGTGGCCCCAGTTAAGCCTTCAAGTTCGAAGCTGTTTTTCGACACAAACAGCCTTCACGAGTTGGTTAAGCGAGCGGGCCAGCTTCGGGATTCCCTCGCGGAAACTGTTCGGCGGGCAGAATTGCTTACGCAGACTCCCATCAGTACTCCCCGGGTTGAGCCACCGAAACCTCGTCATAACCTTGACGGCAGCCCGGCTTTCACTCGAGTCTTCACGGACCCCTCTGCAAGCCCACAGAGTCCGCAGCGGCGGTTACCCAAGAGCCATAGTACGAATTCGGTCCTAAGGAGGAAATCATCAGTTGATTCTCCACGGTTGCATATGATGACCGTCAGCTAGTGGAGGATACGAAAACGACGGCACGCCCGACGCCCAACGGGATTGAAAACACACTGTATATGTATAAATAATATATTTCGCCACGAACCCATCGACTATGACGGAACATCATCCTCTTATGTTTGAACCGGCTCTTGAAGTGGGCTGGATCGAGAATATGAGTGGTTAGGGTCTTCCTGCTATGTTAGGCTGAGGCCATCGGATACGAAGCTATACTGGAGGCGGGGTTTCGATCGATTAAAGCGAGACATGAGAGGATGCGACAGCAAGGCGGGTCGCACTGCTCTACTGTAATGGAGGAGAGAGCGAAAAGCAGGATAATGTATGGGGACATAATGACCATGGCATAGCAGGGCGTGCGGCATATTCATCGTTCTTGTTTTCTTGCATGGCGGGATCTTCCTTGAGCATCAGCAGCACTTCCTTATACCATTTGCATTGCTTCTGCGTTAGGTTGTGGAATGGGGAATGGAGGGAGGGAAAACATACCAAAACGAACACACGGGGGTTGAGCAAGCGGAAGCATACCCTACGCACAGCATGGCAAAGAAAAGCCATCAACAACAATGATCAAGTCATGAAATAGCCTCATGAACGGGTTGATCATTCTTCTAGTTAAATTAATATGTCAATGTCTATCTACAACTTTCATTTACTGATTCCGTATATGTTGGGGAGCATTCCGTGCTTGTCCAGCTCCATCCTTCTGTTGTCTCTGTCCCCTCAACTTTGTTTACATGTACACCTGACTGACAAGAAGATGGGGAAATGAAGGTCATCATCCCTGCCATCATAGGCGACAGATGTTGCATGGCTGCTGCAATGCAGTGGACCTACATACTTCTAGTGTACTGCTCAATGTAAGGTACAAGTAACGAGCGATTCTTTCGTTATTTGGATGAATGAGATCTCCTTTTTTTCCCCAATCCCAACTTCCGGTGTTTTGTTCGATAAATGATATGCGACAAGGTTCAGGAGAGCGGGCTCATCCTTCCCTTCTGCGGGCAGTTGGCAATCAAGGTACACTACTACCCCAAATTGCCAATCAGCAGGCCCATACAGTACCCCGTACACTATGTACACTACACTACCGTAAGCTACGTACGAAGCTGGAAGCGTGGAGATGGAGGGGTAGCTTGCTTCCCTTGGTTTGTAAGTCATGGATGGCGTCAACTATACTAGTGTATAATGCCGCGTCGAATTGAGGAGTTCCCATCTAGTGTATGTGTCTGTTTCCCCCTGATATCCAGCTAGGTAGTGTGCAGGTCGGGTTCAACAATGGATGTGAGTGTAGCCCCCTACCATACGAGTCGCGATGCCGTCCCCGATCTCACAGTCTGGCCGGGCCAGTGACTCGTGCCCAAAACCAACAGCCAAATCCAATTGGAGGTTGTGACAGTTCGACAGCGGTCTCGAGCTGGCGACTTACCCCACATTGGCAGGAGCATGTGGGACCCGCCGCCCGGCTGGTTTTGCCTGCCAACTCTGCCAGCCAACCAGAAGCAGACTAGCGCGTCGCGCTGGCCCCGAGAGACAGCTGGGGGCCCGGGGGGGTTGTGTTTGGCGAAGCTGAGGTCAACGCGTGAGGAATCAAGGGTGCAGGGACCACCCAAACCGAGTCGACAGGCCTTCCACCCTTCCAAAAGTTCGACAGTGCCTGATGTCCCCACTTTGGCAAGCGGCAACCCAGCAGCAGCCCGGCGAGCGGCGGCGGCGGTGAACGAGAAGCTGGTGCTGGCCGGCTGTGGCCCGCTCATTTCTTGCACCAAAAATCAACAAATCTCCCTTTCCACTCCCAAGACTCCCAGTCTCCCCTAGGCCAGACATCAAACCGAACCTCTCCACTTTCACCGACCTCCGTTGTCTTCGTCTATCCGCGTCGGCTTTATCACCACTTCCATCTTTTTGCTCTTCCATCTTTCTGCCTTCAACCTCCACATAGACCCGTGTTCGTCATCACCAAACCGTCAAGATGCGTGAAATTGTAAGTCTCCCTTTGGTGACTACTGCGCCGCGGCACGCAGAGCAATCCTTTTTTTCTCTCTTTCCCTCCTAAGACCCCTGATTGCTCTACCCCACCAAACTGCCTCGTCTCCTTCTGTGCCTCTGCCTACTGCTGCCTGATTCATCATGATCCTGCTCGCTTTCTCGCCATCGCGGACTGCCATCTCTCGCGAGTATCATGGATATCAACGCTGACACGATTTCTTCACGTGCTATAGGTTCATCTCCAGACCGGCCAATGCGTAAGTCGATGATGGCTTCCACTCCCGTCGCGATCCAACGACAACAGCAGGACTAACACAACAGCCACGATCAGGGTAACCAAATCGGTGCTGCTTTCTGGTACGTCGTCATCATCGCGAACAACTACACTTTTGAGCGACGGAACCCGACGCTGACAAAACAAACAGGCAGACTATCTCCGGCGAGCACGGCCTCGACGCCTCCGGTGTGTACGTAACCTCGTGCCCAATAACCATATCTGGTGATGGCCTCGAAAGCTCACCGCCCACTACAGGTACAATGGCACCTCTGAGCTCCAGCTCGAGCGCATGAACGTCTACTTCAACGAGGTGAGCAACAACCAGTCTCGACGATCTCCCCCTCATAGAGAATTCGCTCGTTAACTAGCTTCGCGCTTGAAAGGCTTCCGGCAACAAGTATGTCCCTCGTGCCGTCCTCGTCGATCTCGAGCCCGGTACCATGGACGCCGTCCGCGCCGGTCCCTTCGGCCAGCTCTTCCGCCCCGACAACTTCGTCTTCGGCCAGTCCGGTGCTGGCAACAACTGGGCCAAGGGTCACTACACTGAGGGTGCTGAGCTTGTTGACCAGGTTCTCGATGTCGTCCGTCGCGAGGCTGAGGGCTGCGACTGCCTCCAGGGTTTCCAGATCACCCACTCCCTCGGTGGTGGTACCGGTGCCGGTATGGGTACCCTCCTTATCTCCAAGATTCGTGAGGAGTTCCCCGACCGCATGATGGCTACCTTCTCCGTCGTGCCCTCCCCCAAGGTCTCCGATACCGTTGTCGAGCCCTACAACGCCACCCTCTCCGTCCATCAGCTCGTTGAGAACTCCGACGAGACCTTCTGCATTGACAACGAGGCTCTTTACGACATTTGCATGAGGACCCTCAAGCTCTCCAACCCCTCTTACGGCGATCTTAACCACCTTGTCTCCGCCGTCATGTCCGGTGTCACCGTCTCCCTCCGTTTCCCCGGCCAGCTTAACTCCGATCTCCGCAAGCTCGCCGTCAACATGGTTCCCTTCCCCCGTCTCCACTTCTTCATGGTCGGCTTCGCTCCCCTTACCAGCCGCGGCGCCCACCACTTCCGTGCCGTCTCCGTTCCCGAGTTGACCCAGCAGATGTTCGACCCCAAGAACATGATGGCTGCTTCTGACTTCCGCAACGGTCGTTACCTCACCTGCTCTGCCATCTTGTAAGTTACTGATCATGGAATGCTGCTTTTGACCACTAATACTAACGAATCAAACAGCCGTGGCAAGGTCTCCATGAAGGAGGTTGAGGACCAGATGCGCAACGTTCAGAACAAGAACTCTTCCTACTTCGTCGAGTGGATCCCCAACAACGTCCAGACTGCCCTCTGCTCCATCCCTCCCCGCGGTCTCAAGATGTCCTCCACCTTCGTCGGTAACTCCACCGCCATCCAGGAGCTCTTCAAGCGTATCGGCGAGCAGTTCACTGCCATGTTCAGGCGCAAGGCTTTCTTGCATTGGTACACTGGTGAGGGTATGGACGAGATGGAGTTCACTGAGGCTGAGTCCAACATGAACGATCTCGTCTCCGAGTACCAGCAGTACCAGGATGCTGGTGTTGACGAGGAGGAGGAGGAGTACGAGGAGGAGGCCCCCATTGAGGGCGACGAGTAAACAAGTCCACTCAACATTCAGGCTCCTCTGCGCACGTAAAGTGCCAAAGGCAATACCCTGCTCGGTAAAAAACCGCCGGGCTTGTCGATTTTACGCACATATGCGCATTCCTGACTTGAAGCGGAGGAGTTCTTCGTTGCGGGTTACAGTGTTTTAATAAAAGAATGGTCAAATCAAACTGCTAGATATACCTGTCAGACACTCTAGTTGTTGACCCCTATACTCTTAATACATCAGACAGTACATGCATGTTGCATGATGATGATAATGTCTGTTTAGATTCCAAGTGTCTACTGCTGGCCAAGCTTTCTCTCTACGCACTCTGTAACCATGGTAGCGTGAGACGTATCAAAAGCCCCTAGGTTTAGGAGACTATGTCCGTGTTGTGTGGTGTGCTGGTAAGTTTGCGGAAGATGCGCTAGATCTACGCTGGGGATTATAATAGCGTAATTATCCCTGACATAATCGCTGTTATGAGGCAGCGGCGAAGAGGCAATCGGTTACTTTTAGATACTCAATAGTTGTTTGCCCGCTTTTTCATGTGCGTTGAGTCATGTAACCAAGGAATGGCGAGAACCCGACATGGTCAACAGAGTCAGTGACGAGATCCCCAGCTTCTCGCAGTGAGTATTTTGCAAGACCGAAGGCCACATCAAAGCATCAATTCCAAGTGAACTGTCTTACAAGGCCATAAAGGAAACTCTCCATTTACCCAACTGCCTAGATACTAGTAGTACTGAGCGCTTGACTTCAAATGGGATGTGGAAAGCCCAGGTGTGAAAGTTCAACTGACTGCTGCATTAGGTAGAATGGCCGGGAAATTGAGGGATGTCATGGTGTTTAGTAGGTATACACAGTCATAACTCATGTCAAGGAGAATAATCAGTATCCAAGACTAGAATAATGGATGGATAACTCGGATCAGCAATTACCATTGTTTTATGTGACAGAAATTTCAGCTTGAATAGTAAATCAAGGACCGGTAGCTCAGGGGTAGAGCGTTCGGCTGCAGTCCGAACGGTCACGCGTTCAAATCGCGTTCAGTCCTCAATTTTTTTTTTCCTTTTTTTTCCCTTCCCCTTTTTCAGTTACATCTTGTTTTGTTCCTCCTCTGTGGCCTTGCCTTTCTACATTTAGTCTTTTCGGAAAGTGCAAATCCGAGATTGGAATATTACTTGGGATTAAACTGAAAGGAGTGTTTGGTGACAAGTAGAAGATGACTGTATGAATAGAATATGTTGATGATGACTGTTGACAAACGGAGTTTGAGAGAAAAAGGAGCGATGCTACTTAGTGACTGGTTATCATTACCGTGATGGGAATGATGGCAGGAATGTCCCTGTCCACGACTTCATGTTCACTAATCTCCTGGCAGGAAGTGTCAGAAACCCCCGCGTGAAGTCTTGAATTTACACGGAATGGAAGTTGCTCCCGAGGCGGCATGTAACTTGAGTCCGCTCTGGATGCAAGAGAAAGGAACACTCGATGACTCTTGCATTCGGGCTAAAATCTGTGAGTGCTTAGAATAGCGGGCTTAACTTCCTCTCCTTTCATATACCTATACTTTTTCTCTTCATTCTTTGCTTCCATTTTCCCTTCCTTTGGGAACATCACTATGTTTCATACTTTTACCTATGAACCTCGCTGGTTCAAGTCATCAGACCTGATAGCATGTAATGCCTAGGTATATAGATCTCCATCCGATCTTCAAAAAAAGAACACGTCGGTGAACGTCTAAAGCGAGCAAGTGAAAGATTACGGAGTGAGCTTGTTGGTTTCCATGGCGGGCGACTGTCACTGCATGCCTGACGAACCTTTTTTTCCAAGTTTGAAATGTAGTCAACTTGCGGGCCTGAGGTGAAGTTATGACCAATGCCTACCTCTACGTAAGTAGGCAGGGTATGATACCAACGCCATAGTGACTTGGTATGGGATGGACAAATCTACAGCCATCATGCCATGACATGCGTACCACTTGCTCCCAACTGATGGCTCACTAGTGTACTGGCTAGATGAGGTTTAAGGGGTGACTTACTCCTCTGAAATTGGCCTAGGCGTCCGACTGTGGGATGAGAAGGAAAGTACAAACCCCAGTCGTGTTGTTTATTGTAATGTGGCCAAAAACTTTCCACTTCTGATTTCCCTTCAACTATAGTACACCCTGGAGAGAATCGCTGACAGTTGATAATTATATCTACCTACTTAATGAAACACATCACCAGTCTCCCTTGACTAGATTATCAGAGCCCAAGCCGCTGAAGGCTGTAAATTGGGACAATTATAGTCTCTTGAGATCCTCCAAGCGATAACTATCCAATGTCACATCGGGTTTAAAGGGAAGGTAAAGTCATGATTCACGCTAGCACCGAGTCGAGGTCATGATAATGATCTTCGAAGATCGTTCATAGCGGGGGGAGCCAGTCAAACTCGTTGACTACATGACAAAGATGAGGACGCAGGAATCGAACTGATGGGGGGTTTTGAATGGTTCCCTGCCTGGTTTCATCATTGTATCGCGCAAACAACTGCGCTTTACTAGCTATAGACACTTCGATACGTTTATCCCCCACATCCCTCCCAGTTTTTCCTGATATATACATTTTTTGTTGATATTTTCCGAACTTTCTTTTCTTAATTATCTCTCTTATCAATACTACCGGGTGTTATACACTTGGGGATTAAATTGCGCTACCTGCATCTTAGTCCTCTTACCACACTAGGGTTGGACAGCGTGGGCATGGAAGGGGGTGAAAGAGGCCTCTCCTGTTAATTTTCCCTTTTCATTAATCCGCCGCAAAGTAAACAATGGTTGTTGTGCGCGGGTGCCAGGCGAGTCACTGAAAGGGGACACAAAAGTCAACATAGCCTCGGCTGCAGGGACTTTGCCGTGTTGCAGAAATCTTGATAACGGAAAGGCTTTTAATAGCCATACTCGGGAGTTAGCACCGGAAAAGGGAACGGAGAAGGAGGGAACCGTTAAGGGAAAGCCGGCCTCAGTATCTATCCGAGTCCTGAACCAATCCACTCCATGTCGGACGGACGGAATCCCGGAACCTATCACACTACCCAGCAACACAGCAAGAAACCACAGCCAACGAACGCCTCTTATACCTACCCCGACTCCAACCGGTCAGTAGCAATGACCACAGCTGTACCTAGCTATAGCTGTAGCTGTAGCGGCAGTACAGTCAAGACACACAAGTCACGTCACCGAGGTAATCACGCCCAAACCCACGCCCACGCCGCCGCAGGTCGCACAAGTAACCTACTTTCTCAGAAGAAATGCAGAGAGGGTATAGGAGCAACAGAACCAAGCTCCCGTACCTAGCTGGAGCTACCGTTCAGGGCTACTTGAAGAAGCGTGTATGTGTGTGTGTGTGGAGAGAAAATAAAAATAGAGATATAAAAAAAAAACGCGTTTCTTCTTCCCATCTCCCAGCCAAGCCAAAGCCCAGAAGCTCCCCCTCCTCCACACATAGCACACACACTACCCAGCTACCACTTCCTCCATCTTTCCACCTAGGTAAACCCGCACATTGCATGGGTTGTTGTGTCACATGGACTTTCCCCCATTCCACAAAAATAAAAACATGGCATGATAGGAACACTCAGCCGCACATTCTGTTCTTCCGAATCCCGAGTCCGTCCATATCGTCGTCATGTTCGCTTAATAGACAGGGAGGGAGAGGGCTGCCTATCTAGTCTACTTGCTAGGTTCGGTAGGGTTGATAACGCCGATGCCGACGCCGACGCCGAAAGCTACCTGCCTAGGTAGCCTTTCCCGCTTGTAAATGGATGGGATGGGATGGACGAATCCCGAGGGAAGAAGAGAGAGAGAGAAGAAAAGCAAGACTGGGGCGCCTGCAAGCTTAGTGGTGTGACGAGGAGTGCATGTGCGTGCGTTGTTTTGGGATTTTGGGGTTGGGTTATGTGTGTGTGTGTGTGTGTGTGTGTGTCCTAGCTATTTCTACCTGGCGAATTGTTAAGTTGAAGCTGCTACGTGGGCTGATGATTTGTGGAGAGAAATGGGAGGGATGTGAAGGTGGGAAGGAGAGAAGGAGGACTCCAGAGGACAAAAGTCTCCGTCGGCGATGGGGGAAACCAACACGAAGGAGAGGAGAAGAGTTGAAACGCTAGACCCTCGACTTAGTCAGTGAGGAGTGGTTATCGTTCATATGGCCGTTAACGGCCACCACACACTTGGTCAGTTCGACTTGGTGTGAAAACATAACCTATGTATTGTCTCGACTCCAAACATGAAGAACAACAGTTCGGAACTAATAAACTTGGATCATCCTTGAACAACACTCCAAAGCCCACAATAACCCATTTGCTTGCTAGTCATTCATCGTCAGGCTTTTTCGAAGGCGGATAGGTGGTGCGCCTGTCAGCACTAGAGGTCGAAAATGGGGGGGACGGAGGGGAGGGAGAGTCGTTCTGTCAGCCCTACGAAGAGCAGCGGACGGACAGATAGGGTTCTGACCCCATTCCGACCCCAAATAACGTCCAGCCTCGTCCCGGTGGGTTGGGTCTTGGTGCTTGCTTCCTGTCCACTTTGTCTATTCGATCTGATGCGCTGATGTGATATGTAAATGCCATGTTTTGGAGTAGTGCAGTGTACCAATGCTGTGGTAACCGATCTGATTCACGGGCAATCAGTCAGGGTCAGGGGCAATGGCTTGCTGCTTGCTTATTCCGCCTTCCCGAGGGGATGGATGCATGTGTGAGATATATAGAGTTCAGTGTAGTAGTGATGTTGAGTTATGTAGATAGTTCTAGAGATTATCATCAAACGTCACTATAGCTTGATCATGCCTAGCCGTGGTGGACACCATACACAGTAGTGATGGCAGTGGCTGTGGCAGTGGTGTTGATGGTATCGTTTACTTGCGAATCAACCATTCACCTGGCTGTCTACCTATGATTGCACAGATTGAATAGTCGAAGCAGCCTCCGACCACCCTCGCTTTGGAAGCCAACAATGTCATGACCGCAGACGG